AGAGAGAGAGAGAGAGAGAGAGAGAGAGAGAGAATCCTGTCTCAAAAAACAAGGTAGAAGGGCTGGAGAAATGGCTTAGCAGTTAAGAACATTGGTTGTTCTTGCGGAAGACCCAGGTTTGAATCCCAGCACCCAAATGGCAGCAAACAACTGTTTGCAACTCCAGTCCCAAGGGATCCAACAGCCTCTTCTGACCTCCGTGGGCATTACACAACATGGGTGCACTTACCTACATGTGGGCAATACATGCATACACATAAAATAAAAAAAATAAATAAAAAAACAAGGTAGAAACTGGGTGTGGCGGTGCACATTTTTAATCTCAGCACTCAGGAGGCAGGCCGATCTCTGTGAGTTCAAGACCAGCTTGGTCCACATAGTGAGTTTCAGGCCAGTTAGGGCTATAAGAAGACCCTGTCTCAAAAAGACCAAAACAGAAAAACATCAAAAAAAACCCCCAACAAAACAAAGTAGATGGTTCCTGAGAAGTGACATTTGAGGTCATCTGGCCTCCACAAGAATACACATGCACACCTTACCCACTAACCTCCCCCCCAAATATATATGGCCATTGTAGAACATTTGAAAAATGTAGACGTTATACAGAGGGAAAAAAATGACCCCCATGACTATTCCCACAGCTGCGACTGGCCTTTGGTGCTTTTCTCTGATCTCTTAGACAGTTATCTAGCTCAGGTGTGCCCTTGTTGGCCACTCCATGTTCCTTGGCTCCACTCATGTGGCATTCACACAGGCATTTTTTTTCCTCAACTGCTGGTCATGTGACCTTCTTTTGGTTATGAGCCTGTGTGAGGCTCTGGGTCTTGAAGCTCCCTGGGCCGGTGTCCACCTTATTCTGTTCCCTCAAGGAATGTGACCTGGTGATGACAGTCTGTAAGAGAAGGGGAGAAGGCCACATAGGAAGAGAGGTTGGAATGATGTGGCCACAAGCCAAGAAATGTTAGGAACCTCCAGAGCTGGGAAAGCAGGAAGGGATCTCCCTGGAACCATCAGAGAGAGAGCATGTCTCTTCAGAGTTGGCTACCAGTAGTGAAGAATGAACTTCTTTTCAGGCTATGTGTGAGTTACTTTTCTTGTTGCTGTTACAAAATGCCTGACAAAAGCAACCCAGGAGAGGAAAGGCTTATTTTGATTCACAGACTGAGGGTTAAAGCCCATTATCACATGGGCGTAAGCATGGCAGCAGGGGTGTAAAGCAGCTGGTCACACTGAGTCAGCAGCTGGGAAGCAAGAGAACACTAGTGCATTCTTTTCCCTTTTATTCAGTCTGGGACTTCAGCTAGTGGGATGGTGGTGCCCCATTTAGAGTAGGTCTTCTCTCCATGGTTAAACCTTTCTCGAGAATCCCTGAGATTTTTTTTTTTTAAATGGTGATGCTACATTCTGTGCTACCTGGTGTTGCACTTTCACTGTCCATTGTCTGACCATCCATACAAACCTCCAAGCATCTTCTGCGCTCCCTGGCCAAGTCTTGGGCTGGGCACTGCCTTTTAAGTGGGCCCTGTTATCACCACCATGTAGTGGAGAGGCTTGTGTCAGACTGACTGGGGCTTAAGTCCATCTTAAGACTATCAGGAGCCTTTGTCACCTCTGCCTCTGCCTCATCAGAGCACCCTGTGAAGGCCAGGCTTGGGGGTCATGTCTCTCAGCAGGCACAGCGTCCTCAGATGGGGACCTAAGGCTCCTGAGGTCCTGGATCCTCAAGGCCTCATCAGTTGCTGAAGACTACCGGGGGGGGGGACCTCCTGCATGTGGCCCCCAGGCAGGGAAGGAGGGTTGGAGGGACAGTGTCCTGGCTCAGGGCAGGGTCCTTTTTCAGACTGTCTTCACTGCTACAGTACCAGCAGAAGCTGGGTGGACTTTAAAGAAGGAGGCTGACCTTGGTTCACAGTTCTGGAGGCTGTGGTTGAGAGGGCATGTCTGGTGGTGGCCTTCTTGCTGAAAGATGTATGCGTGCGTGCGTGTGTGCGTGTGCGTGTGTGTGTGTGTGTGTGTGTGTGTGTGTGTGTCCTCTGGATTCTGGTCCCTCTCCCTCTTCTTTAAAAAAAATTTACATTGTTTTGTGTGATAATATGTGCTGTGTAGGCACAGATGCCATGGAGTGTGTATAGAGGTCAGATGACAAATGATATGGGTTCTGAGAATCAAGCTCAGGTTGCTAGGCTTGTTCAGCAAGCACCCTTACCTGCTAAGCATCTCAGCAGTCCATTCTCCTTGTTCTTTTTTAAAAAAATTATTATTTTTATTTTATATGTATGAGTGTATTGCCTGCATGTATGTGAGTGCACCCATGTCAGAAGAGGGCTTCGGATTCCCCTGGAACTGGAGTTAAGGATGGTTCATAGCCACCATGTACCTTGTTCTTTTAAAAATTTTTATTTATTATTTTTATTTTATGTGTATGAGTGTGTTGGGGACCCCTGTTGTGTGAAGTAGAAGTTCCTCCATGACCGGATAGCCCACGGGCTCGGCGTAAATGCAGGGACTCCTTTTAACAACAGAGTGCTTTTCCTAGCATCCTCCTGACTCACCTTTTGAAGTGCCCGCCAATGCCCCAACATAAACATGGCCTCTGGCTCTGGAAATACCACGCTTTCCTGTGTGATTTTTCAGGCAGTCTGGCAGTCTGGCACCAAGGCAGGAGCCCACTTCCATATGTGAACATGGTATCTCACAAAGTGCCTATCAGCTATAGCTTTTACCACTGCCCCTACAGTATAAAATATCCCAGTCTTCTCTCAATAATAGAGAGCTGGATCACTAGGAGCTAGGAGCTGAAACACTGAGACCTGAAGCCAAGCAGAATCATTTAATAATCAAGGACACATAATTGGAGCTGGAGCTGGATTACTAAGACTTGGAGCTGAGCAGAGTCAGGAGAATAAAGAGCTATAACACGGACTAAGCTGAGTCCCATCTCTCTCTCTCACTGCCGGTGATCCAGCCTCTCTGGGGGGCAGCATTCCTCCGTCATCGACTCAGGGACACCCAGCTTCAGCTGCCTTGTGCTCTCCCGCGTGATCCAGTAGCCAGTGGATCTCGCATCTTGAGGAAAGCGCACAGGGGAAAATTAGGGCGGTAACCGACCAGACACACTCCGGTAGCAGAGACCCACAGAGACACGCAGGGAAGCAGCAGAGAGACCCGCTGCCACAACAGACGCGGAGCCGCAGTGCTGCGGGACTTTCAGCACTAAAGCGGTGGACAGCGATGCGCGGCCAGAGACAGATGCCCGCGGAACCCGCCACACTTCCAGGGCGCGCGACTGAGACCAGGGGACCGATTCCCGCGGGACCGCGCGCCCCATATGAGTGCATCACCTGCATGTATGTAAGTGAACCCATGTTATGTAATGTCTGTGGAGGTCAGAAGAGGGTGTTGGATCACCTGGAACTGCAGTTACAGATGGTTGTAAGCCACTATGTGCATGCTGGGAATTGAACCCGGGTCCTCTGCAAAAACAGCCAGTGCTCTTAACCCGTGAGTCATCTGTCTAGCCCTCTCCTTATTCTCACAGAATCACCAGGTTTCAACCCTGGAAGCTATGCTCTAATGATTGTATCTAATCTTAATCACCTCCCAGAAGCCTCTCTGAACCCCATAACAGATTAAGTTTCTACCCTCTCAGGGCCTCATGATGACTTGAGAGCCAAGAGGGTAAGCATGTTCCCACAGAAGGCCCTTCCTTCTGCCCTCCTACATACCCTGACTACCACTCAGGCCACTTGGTGTCCCCTTGCTATAGGGGCAAGCTGTATCTTGGGACAGTGCTTCCTCTCCTCAGCCCAAACTTCCCCAGCACTGAGTGTTCTGAAAAATACTGTATTTTTCTAACCCATTTTACCAACACCCGTGTTACATAGACATGATGTTTGATAGAGAGAAGACAGTCCTCTCCTGACCCTAGAACCTGTAAAATGTGATTTTATAGGCAGAATGATTTGCAGATGTCTGAAGGGAAGACCAGGACCCCACTGGTTATCAGAGTGGGTCCCAGGTCATCACAGGGCCCTAATAATAGGGACCAGAGGGCCAGAGGGAAGGGACTGTGGGGTTGAGTTTGAGCTGTAGCTCTGTCCTGTGGAGTAAGTCTTGTTTGGAACATGTCTGCATTCGAGACTTATGAAGCAGGACTATGGGACATGGCTGCAAGTGACCAGTGTGAGAAATAAATCATTATTGTCCATATTCAGCATGAGGTACATTTAGAGCTTGTCAGAGGATCACGGATAAGCGGGAGGCACTAAACCCCAGTCTTCTCTAGCTGGCAGGTTGTCTGGGTGCTTCTTAGTTTATCTTATGGTTGAAAAGTTAAAATCTTCTACGTGACTGAGTCCATGTCAGGAAAGAGGGGAAGATTTCTGGCCCCAGGAAGATGGAAATTTTGGGTGGGGACTGTCCTAGACAAGTAGGAAAGATTGTACCTCCCTGAAGAACTCAGTTAAAGAAGAATTCAGGAGGTCAGGGAAACACAATTAGGAATCTAAAAATCACTGTTTTGTGCCAAATTGGCACACCAGCCATTTCTGCTTTTTCTCTAGGCTGATATCCAACTTTGCAAGGTCATAAAAGAAAGTACTTCACTTTAGTTACTCTGAATCTCCAGTGCTCTTTTATGAAGGGAGGATCGTTGTTTCTTACCCCAGAAGCCCAGTCTCTGGGGCTTCCACTTCTTCCTGGTGAAGTCTACCTTTCTGTGACTCCCATCTTACCTTTGTGCTTCATGTGGATCAGTTTCTCTGTCCTCACTGGTTCTGGCCTGCTGGGGTATTCTCTGCTCCTTGGGACCCTCCCCGACCTTTTCTCAGTCTGTGTCTCTGTCTTCATTTCTTTCTGTATCTCTTTGTTTCAGTGTCTTATTTTTCATGTCTGCACCATTTTATTATTTTGCTCATCTGTGGGGATAATGGAA